GATGTTGAGTGTATGACGTCACAGACTCTAAAAAATAATCGTAAAAATATCATACTTTCGTCCTGAATATCGAGAAAACACTTCATACAGTGATTATTGGACCTTTAAAGAGCATTTTWAAGAAGTTTCAGCTGAATCCAAGTTTGAGCGATTTTCGTCGTAGTAGCACTTTAACAAAAGAATTGTCAATGAATTCTTTCGTTATATCCTCCAACATGGCCGCCGTGTCTTTTGTTATTTAATTCTCTTGGAAATGGTTGAAAACCATCAATTATCGGAGCTATTTTGTCTCACCTGGTTAGTTTCAGATACATAACACATGCAGTCGATTGACTGCACAGTCCCTTGATCTGATGACGCGGTCAGAGATTTGTAATCACTTCCGTCAGAATTTCTGTCGACGATTAATACTGCACCTCTTGTGACTGAAGGAAAATGACAAAAAAAGTCAGATACTACAAATGTATCAGTTTTGAGCGGTTTGTCGCGGTTGCTCAGTACAGATAAGAGATTTATTTGTGACTTTACTATTTATTTCGTCTCTAAATTCTTAACTTAGATAAATATAGATTAAATATAATATTCTTCTAAATGCTAAATCCTTTTCCTTACAGTGCGACTACTCCAACCAAAGCCACCTCGACAAATTTTCTACAAATTATCCAATAGTGCTTGAGTATTTAGACAATAGATTAGCGGCAAATTTTGAGTTTAGATATTCTTCCGTTGTTTGGTAAAACTAAAGGATGAAGAAGAGCTTGTAATACATTTTCTTCGCAAATTAGTGATTTGTGTCACCAAAGATATAGAAAAATAGTAATGTACGACTTCAAATACGACCGGAAAGCAAATTAGCGTATAAAACACAGTCTTTATGATTACAGTTTGTTTCTTCCCGACAAAGATATAATCCCATGCTAGTGGTCATCAATAAAACGATTATCACTTGGGAGCAGTCACTGCAAATTACCAATTTATAAACGAACTATACTCTTGTATGTGGAGTAAAAATAGTCGTAATTGTAACTGGGCTTCCTGTGTTCTACGTACCACACCAGAAGGTATCTCCAATGGAGATGAGTGACGTCAGAGTCTTGACTTTATTTAGCTTTATCTATGAAAGATTGGGGGAAAATGACTTTAAAATTTATTTAATTCATGATATAAAACATGCACTTATTACATTATGGTGACGGGTATTTATCGAGTGATCATGGTGCAGAGGTTGAAAACCATTTTGAATGCTACAAAACTCAACCAAGAATCCCTCAGCCCCTCCCTCAGTGGTAAGGGTGTTGCCAAAATAGGCTTTGGGTAGCCGAGGCTAGAAGTAGATAAAGGTTTAATTACAGTTTTTTTGGCTGTTAATGTTACAGGATCCCATCCTATGATGAGCCCTTCAAGACTTGCACTCCACACTGTAACAGTTCTACAATGGAAAAACAAACAAAAAAAAGTTAAATAAATTAGCATATGATTTATTGCTGCTATATAAAGTGCATTCTTGGATTATTTCACCTACACATGTCAATTAATATTGATGATGATGACGATGGTGATGATGGTGATGATGGTGATGATGAATAAATATGGTGATGATGCATGATGGTGATGATGCATGATGGTGATGATGATGATGATGATGGTGATGATGATGACGACAAGGGCGGTTCCAGCCAAAATGTTAGGGGGGGGGCTAATTGAGTTTCTTCCGTCAACACGACGGAAAACAATATAAAAAAGCATCCTTTTTTTCTGCTGAGGGGGGGGGGGGGGCTTCAGCCCTCCTTTGCCCCCCCTGGATCCGCCCTTGGACGATGGTGAATATGATGATGATGATGGTGATGATGATATTGATGATGGTGATTATGATTATGATGGTGGTGGTGATGATGATGATGATGATGATGATGGAGATTATGATTGTGATGATGATGATTGTGATGACGATTGTGATGATGCCGATGATAATGATGACGATAATGCTGGTGGTGACGTTGATAACGATAACTGCGTTGATGACGATAGAGGTGTTGTCGATGACGCTTGTGATAACGACTTTCATTTGGATTACACAGATAATGGACGTAAAATAATACCACTGACAATAAATTTACTGCAGCTATGTTAAGTAACAAGTTAAAAATAAATTCAAATGACGTGCTTTAATTTGCTTCAAGTTTATAAATGGAAAGCTAGCAAAGGATTTACGAATCAAAGCTGTGTTTCAAAACAAATTTTGTTTTGGGTTTGCAAATATCAAAAACAAGAGTTTCTTGAAACGCTGTCGTCTGTAGCTAAGATGTGATGCAATGTTCCTTTGTCATTCAGTGGAGGCCTTTCTCATGGAATAATGCGGCGATAGATTCTTTTATTACCAAAGAGATAACTAAAATACGAGATTGTAAAACAAAGTATCTAAAGACTGGAGAAAAGTAGTTTGATGTACGAACAGTAATGCAGGTTTGACGAAAATAACAACTGCCTTAGCAACCAAAATACGTCATTAGTGGAAGATACGGAAACTTTGAACTTTACCGCCAGAATTCATTAATAATGCATAAAAACGCTTTGTCCGTATAAACCAATAGAAATGAACCTTTTCTCTTTCTCGTAATCCTGTTTTGTCGGTAACTTTTTCCGAACGAAAATATAAGTTTTTCGCGCTCGTAAAACCTTATTGATTAGAGCATAGTTTATCTATTAACTATGATTAGGGTAAAAACTAAAAAAGATACAGGCAAAGAGAGCGGTACTTTATTCATTATACGTATTTAAAAAACGCTTGTTATTGCGTCAGTAAATCTTAGAAAAATCCTATGATGCGGGACTACCACTCGTTGCTATGGAAACATTACAAATAAACGACAATATGACGTCTATGTTGTAAGAATATGCATATTAGAAAAGTATAAAAGGTCCAAGCGGTTACATCCAAAGTTGTACCTCTCTATTATTTCACAGGAATAGGTGCCTTGAGATACAACAATGATGATGATGAGTGGCAAAAGTGGAGAACATCTACCAAGGCTTTTTCTGGTTGACCAGCAAGCAGCCATGTATGCAGAACAAATGAAACTTGGGCTGGCCCAGGGCCACATCGAGCAAGGTAACACAAAATATATTCAAGGTGTAAATACTGATAAATTAACAAMAAAAAAAATTGATGGATGAAAATGAAATGTGATATATTGAAAGTAACCAAACGATTCTAACATTTACTTATGAGAAGGAGGCCAAAACAGTCAAACTCCACAAAATTTGATCATGAATGATCTGGTGTCGGGTGATGCCCCACTATAGCTTGAAAAAATCACGAACATCGTCCAATGAAACTATTGTCTCAAGAAAGGACAAAAGTGCCTAAAAATATCAAAACAATACATTGCCCTGTTGTCCAACCGACCCCATGCCACCCAAACATACATCGAAAAAAAAATGGCCACAATTTTCAGAGAATTGACAAAAACTGATAATTCTGAATGCTGTAGGATGGATAAGCTAGCTATTGTCACATAATATGCCTTATTAAAAGAGAGACCAAAAATAGAAAGGCTTTACCAAGGCCTGCTGATTGGGAATAATAACGACAAGTGATGTCGGCAGATAACAGTCTCCGTGACTTGGAAGACACCGGCAACAATAGTAATGAATAACATTGCATCCTAATACTTCCGACTATTGACCCAAACTTTTATTTGAACCTGTATTTTTCAATATTTAAACCAACAATTTACTCATTTCTTTTTCAGTTTCAAACTCGATGACGAAAACCCACTCAAGTGAAAGCGAGATGGACATGAAAAAGAAGAGAAATTCGTTCAACTGTTTCCAGAAAGTCGAACTGGAGGAAATCTTCTTCTACAACGCGTACCCTACAAGAAAAACCTGTCAGTACCTTGCAGATAGATTCGGCACATCCACTCACTCTGTCAAGGTAATGATGATTTACAGTACTTTATGAGAATACACTAAAAGTCCACATCACTCCCAACCGAAAAATATTGTTTATCAAAATTAAAATTACAACTGAAGAGTGGAGCTGCATGCTCGTTGCCTCTCGTGCTTCGAGGGGTTTGGTGCGGGTTCTCCTCCCTACATAAAAATTAACTTCTAAAACTCTACTTATTTCAATTGTATTATTCCTCGTCAAAACAAAACATTTTTCGACCACTAAAAATCAAATTTTTACCTAATAAACTATTTCGTTTTACTTTCTATTAGATTTGGTTCAAGAACCGTCGGGCACGACAAAAGAAAGACGTAACCATATACCCGACTCAAGCAGGTCATAAAACAAACGGAACCTATCTTCAACCCAACTTTCCATCTATCCATGGTCCAGGAGGTTCATCATGGCAGCAAAATCCCCGAGTTCAATATAATTTAAATCAGTTTTTCAGTTGCCTTGGGGGAATGAGAAATAATATTCATTCTGCCTTCTCGTTGTATCCAAAACTTACTGAATAGAAAAAATACTGTTCTAAATAGAACGGTTTTCGTATGAGTCGGGAAATTGCCTTCATTGTGTTTTGCTTTGGGAGTAGTTTGGAGATTCAAGTGGCTAATGCATTAGCACGGGATGGAAAGCCATTTTGATGCTACGATCCATGGTATCGTGTAACGCTGCCACTTACTGGCTGTTTGCCACTCATACGAAACTATCTGTTTAAATCAAAGACTCAGTTCAAACAGGCCTCGTTCACAGGATAATATGATTTTAAAGCAATTTATATCTATGATGTTAGCGTCAAGAAACAAAATTTACATATTTAAGCAACTTTATCTATGTTGAGAATTTATATGACAATAATAATGACAAAAAACGTATTTTCGCTCAGTATTTTCATTTCAATTGAATATGTTGTCTTCATCTTATGCTGTCATGGCTAGATGCCACATAGCACCATAAATAACATATTAACATCGATAAAATATAAATAGTTTGTCGTAATATATTGCTGATTATTGCTTTTATGCACAATGTCAACATTAATATGACTTCATGTATTAACCGAACTGTCGTTGCCATTTATTGTCGGTTTTCTAAAAAAACGACAACAATCTAGCACGGTAACTCTATCAATCTAGCATTTTGAACGAGAAATTTAAAGCTCGTTTTCATCTGCTTGTGTTCCCGACAAGAGTCGAGGCACTATGCTCTAGTATAAAAATAGATGAGTAGCTTATTAACTGTAGCTGTACTAAGTAGTTGCTATCTTATACAGAGTTGAATCTTACAGCTTGTTTGTATGGCTATGAAAAACTACGGGACACGGCACGGACACGATACGCAATTGACGACATGCGTTAAACCAATCGCAGCGCATGAGATTTTTGTTGATCCAATCAGAATGCCCGGATCAAGTCTGGCCCATTTTGTACCATGTTTTTCACCGTCATACAGAATTTGCAACATCTCAAAGAAATTCTATACGAGTCATTATCACTAATAAATAACTTGATGTTCATGAATAAAAAGACTACAAATGCATCATATGACACTTTGTATTTTCATCTCGAATATTGAACGCATTCGTGGTTTCAACCTCGTAACGAATGCGCATGCGTAACTCCAAGCTTGTCTGCAAGGTCCAAGATACACTGGTTTATTTTTTACTTTTACTGAATTTATTAATTTAGGACCATACTTCCAGACATCGAGTGCTGAAGCTTCGTATGGCAGCGCGAAGCATTTACGGCTACGCCGGAGATTTCGACCCCGACACCGCTATCCCTGGATTTACAAACTGATCAGGAAGCTCGGCCGAAGCCTAAGGGAGAGGTTAGTCGGCCCCTAGACCGTAGATGATTAACCCCTTGCTATGACCAGCAGACCCGATATATGGCTCGTATCAATAATGGGTAGTTACGCATGATCACTCCTTTCCATGTGGGACGCGTTTTTGACATCTAGTCGTACCGCAGATTTACGCGCAGACGCAGTGGGTTAAAAAACTAAATTGGGGTCTTACTTTTTGTTCTGACATTTTTATTTCACTTCAAAAACCAAGGGCTTTTGAATGCTTATTCTATATATTCAAAAGTTGAACAGATTGAATTGTACTTCATAATAATGTTGCGATCCATACAGTGTAGATTTACGATTTATATTTGTTTGTTTATTGTTTGAATAATAGGTCACTGTAAAGACGCTATACCGGCCCACCACCTGATATGTCCATTTGTCAGACATGTTTGAAAGTCATATCGACATATTTTTATACTAGCACTAAAGACGTTTCATCTATAATTGCATACGGTCTTAGAGCATGCGCAGACGTTGTCGGCAAAGGTTAGTAAATACTCGGGTCCTCTTTCGCATCCTTTCGGTAAAAGAAATGAAAAGATCCGATCATAATTCGGGTATTCGGTAAACGCGTCGGAATTCGCATCCTTTCGTATAAGAGTTGAAAACATCCGATCATAACTCGGGTATTCGGTGAAAGCGTCGGGACATTTGACACAGAGACCGCTATGTAACCAACCACTATATATTTCAGGCATAAAAGTCGTACAAGTTCGATCTGGTTTTTCGGGTACTTTCCTATTTTTCATTAACCTTTAATTTGGCTATTTTTGGTACACTCGGAAATGATTCGGACCGAGTCGAGTAACGTTCGAGTCATTGGTTTATTAAGAGTCCGAGTATGTCTTGTCGGCAAATCTGATTCTATGATCATAAAACTCATTCTCATGTTATCAAACTACGTATAATCTAGACGTCATTTGGCAGTGACAAAATCAAAAAGCCTGAAACGCTTACGAAAGTCTATAGGTTGCTGCACGGAAATGACGATATCTATGAACCCATAACGGCACGGAACGTTTCTATAGCGACTGCTTTTCGACATTATCTTCAATGTTAAATAACAGCATCGTGCTAATTCTTGTCATTCTTCCGTAACTGGTTCATTTGACGACCATAACCTAAATTATCGTCCTAACAGAAAGATGTTGGCAGTGTCGATGACGTCATTGTTGCTTCCAATATCGTATTAAGCAGTGGTTGCTATAGCAACATCATGCCAACAAATAATAATACGATTACTTCAGAACGTCACAATTTATTTTAGGGTGAAAATAAAATGCGGTTGCTACCAAACAATGGCCAAAAATTAGGATTAGTGACGTCGGGGGACGTCGTCCGAATTAAGACTCATGGCTTCTAGACCTTCCACATTCTATATAAAAGGAAAATCCACACCAAACGTTATATCCTTAAAATATTGAATATGAATAAGCAAGACTCTACCGAGGCATCCACGAAATACTTTGAAGGGGAAGAGGTCCCACAAGAGACTCAGTATCTTCAATGTACTATGCATCCAGAATCCTCTCGAGTGGATAGGAAAGACAATGCCATGAATGAAATTTCGGTTATAAAGACGGTTGGCCATTGGATAAAAGCCCATCCACTACAGACTACTGCGGGCAACTCCTTTCAAACTGGTAAGGGGTTTAAAGACGTGTGGGTTTAAAGACGAAATTACCGGCCCAATATCTTGCACTTTTCATACGTTACTTTTGACAATGCTATAAAAGCCAAAGAAAAAGCATTAATAACAACAAGATCGTCTTGTTCAGTTGCTGTCCACTTTATGAATAAACGCTAATCATTGCGAATTGTTTCCCAACAGGACAAGATTCTTCTAGTTTCAAAAAGAAGAGGAATTTCTTCACTTGCTTCCAAAAACTCGAATTGGAACAAATATTTGTTCATAATCCGTACCCATCAAAAGAAATGTGCGAATACTTAGCACTAAGATTTGAAAGCACTCCTTACTCGATGAAGGTAAGCAATTGAAAATTATAGCTCAATGTTAACAATAATGTAGTGATAAGAGCCACTGTAATAGGCCGGTTTCGAGTTCTCTGCTGCTCAGGGTTGTGCAGAATATTCACGTGTTCCAGTGAAGGTCCGTGGAATTTCAGTGTTTGTATTGTTGAAGTTGTGCATTCTTTACTTTACCGTTGGTATTTGTGAATATTTAGACACTGATTCGAGGCTAACCCTGAGTAAATGAGTCTGTAATCAAGGAACACAGCGGTTATTTAGAACTCGCAAAAGATCTATTAGTGTTCATTATTTATTACAATCATATAAGCAGGACTCGAAATTGTGTAAAATATTTTAACGTAAACTGAACTCTTCGTTCAATAGTCATAAAAGCGTATATAAGTGTACCTTGCCAAATCATTCGAGTTCCCGTTTTTAACCGAGAATGCACCTAGTACGCCGTCAGCTAAATTATTTTCATATCGTTATTTATTTTTGTTTTGTTGTTACCTTTTCGGCGGCCTTGGATTACAAATTTTCTCAAGCAACTTTCATATATGCTTAGCCAGCGACATAACGAAAATGTATTATTCTTATCCTTGATAGATTTGGTTCAAGAATCGTAGAGCGAGACACAGAAAATCTTCGTCGTCACAGCCATGTTGTGAACAACAACCTCCAATGCCATTTCATCAAGTGTACTACCCGCGAACAGTAAGAAAGGAACCCTTTTCTCAACCCAAACAGACAGAGTTCCCTAGTGTCATTCTGGATCCGCATGATCACAGATCAGCTTTTTCAATGTACGTTAAAACAGAAAAAAGTGAAGTCCAGGAATAACTTGAATCCCGTTTCCAGATATGTATAGAGGATATTACATGGGCGCGCGGAAGTACGAATTTTATCTTCGAGTATCTAAATTGAACACGAGAAGATAAAATTCGTATCTCCAAGCGGCCATGTAATGTTCTGTTTATCATTTAGATATCGATGAAACTTAAATAAAACAAAAGCTCAAAAATTCTTTATTAAAATACGTTACCATGTCAACAGCGATATCTTCACGTGTGAAAGATATGGTATCTTCCACTGGTAGTATTTAGTATTATTCTTTTCTTTCTGGCACTCATATTAAAGATACATATTTAATATATGATCATCGATGAAATATCTATTTTTAATAATAATAATAATAATAATATTAATAATAATATTTATTTATAAAGCGCAAATACAAATCTGTTCTAAGCGCTAGTAAACAAACGACAAAGACAACGACAAAATAAAATTATTTACAAAGAATATGCTAATTTGAAGAGATAAGTTTTAAGTTCAGTTTTGAATGAGGCAAGACTTGATGCATTTCGGAGAGATATTGGAAGTGAGTTCCAGAGTTCAGGAGCAGCCACAGAGAAGGAGCGATGACCATGAGATTTAAGATTATAAGAATGTGCTGATAGAAGAACTTGTGATGCAGAACGAAGATTACGG